CACGACACAAGGGGAGATTTTCATATTTCCTCGGAAATGAACAACTGTCACACGCTATAAGTGAGAAGGATCTGGGTATCATCATTCAAGAAAACTTAAGCTGCTCACACAACTGCACCAAGGTGTCCAACGCAGCTGTAAAGAATGTCGGCTTGCTTAAGCAGGTCTTCGGCCCGTTTGAGTCAGCTTTATTCCCCCGCCTACTATCAGCCTACATCGACCACTCACAGAATACGCTATCCAGGCATAGAATCCATGACTACAGCGTGATTGCAGGATGCTAGAGCGTCCACAAAGGATGGCCACATAAATGGTCAGGGGATTGAATCGGTGCTCATACGCAGAGTTATTGAAGTCACTACCGGCGCATCAGAAGAGATATGATTATGGTATACCAAATAATGCAAAACCCAAGCCATCCGTGGCGCCCGCTTCTGAAATTATCACCCAACGTTCATCTTAGAGGACATCCATTTAAACTAGTGGTCTCAAAATGCCGCTTGGAATGCCAGCGTCAGTCATTCGCAGTCAGAGTATGTTCGATCTGGAACTCTCTACCATCCTACCGTCGTCTGTGCTCCAAGCATTGAGGCTCGATGAAACATTAGCACACCTTACATTCCAACATGAGTGAAGCTGCGTGCAGCAGTGGAAAAAGCACATATCACTTGACATTTTACACACAGAATTGTATGTATCACTGTTTCTTACTCCACCGTACGAACCTATCAGACCAGAAAAGCATGAGCTTGTAAGTTAATCCCATAATAAATCTTTGAATCTTCGAGTTTGTGATGCCTCATCCGTGAGATCCACCATTGGCATAGGCCAATCTTTTTTGTGTACACAGATAGGGTGTGCACAAACGAATGCCGATCGCTTCCACGGTGTCTATGGTGTGGAGATGGAACGATTTTAATGGATGAGTTTGTACTTGATGTACAAATATAAAGGCTAATTCAGACTTCACTTTAGTCTGTTAAGTGAGCTAGGATAGCGCTACCTGTGACACCTTTTCTGCTGTATCAAATAGAGCGTGGATAGTACTTTGTTTATCTCCTAAAACAAATGCCTCACCGTTCGGCTGAGTTGGGTTGCGTTAAAAACACAGCTGAATGAATAGGTAACCATAGATTAGGTGATTGTAAGTCGATTGTCTTTACTTGATACTATTGTTATTGATGAGTTTGCGAATACGACTGCCAAACTGGATGCACTAAAGATTCCTCTCACAATACCCAAAAAACGTTTTCTATTCAGATCAAATAGATTATCTCCTTTGAATGTTAGTTTAGTAAACAGCTTCCTCTTTGAGGCTTCCGCAAAAAAATATATTTCTTTCATTCTCCAAGGTTTATTTCGATGAACCTTTCAGGGTATCCTTTTTCCGTAAGAATATCTATGATCCTACCTAGCTCATGTGCGAACGTGGATTCGGAACATATCTTTTGTGTAGGCGAGACAAGGCCCTGAATAAAGAGTCTCTTTTGTATAAGTGGCACAAAACTTTGAAAGCTGATATACTGTCCGGTTCACGTTTCTTTTCTGTATACCCTTCTTTCAAACAGCCCATCAGTTTTCCTTTACAATGGTATTTTCCCTTTTTTCTTTGATTCTAGAGTAAAGCTTTTGAACTTATGAATCTTTTTATACCTTTGCTTGATATGGATTTGGTTATCCTGTTTTTTGGTAATGAAAAATATATTATCAGCCTATGGCTTTTGGGAATTCGTTTTGAAAGCTTTTAATTCCAGAACGGATTACTCCAGTTTGATGACAAACAAATCCACTAGTATCGGACCTAGTGGAGAGACTATAATGAAACCATCCCTCTGACGGTACATTCCCCCGTTAATTAGAAACGGAAAATAGAAAGAACAGACGGGGATAAAAAGCTTCATGAGAGTGTCAGATAGACTAAGTTTCTCTCACTTTTAATGATGAGATGCTGTAAAAAGCGTATTCTTATTACTTATCAAGTCAGATCATTTGCGGAAAATTAAGTGTAACGTTTAACTGTGTCACATTAGTTCATTTTCCCTGATGCCTGCCCATTGGCCACCTCTCGGTGTTATCTTTGCACATGCTTCGCAAGGCTAAAAGGCCCAGTCAAACTATGACTTGATATTGGGGTTTGAAGTCGTTAGTTTCAGTACTTGTTTCCGCTGACGCTATCGGCCTTCTAGGTTAGGACTCAAGAAGTGACGATTGTTTTTGGTCAGCAATAATGAGAGATATAGCCCAGAACAGAGTGCAATAGTGTGGTGTATGTATTGCCTTCTTGTTGAAATCCCTTGACTCATAAAGAAGGAAATACAAAATAGATAAAATGCTTCATGCAACCAGTTCCCTTTAACATTTCCATGAGAACAAGAAAAGGTATCGTGATCACTAATGTGATCATCGTACTCTTTGCACTCAAGAAAAACAAAAGATTTTAAGGTTAAACACAACTTTTCATTTCTTCTTTGCAACTCGTTCTCCCTCAGTTATAAAAAATCTCATTTTCATTTTCAGCGTTGTGCACCATGTATATTCTCTAGCAGGTGTTACTTATAACTGTAATAGCGGTATTTGTCAAAAAAATTTGTAAACTATTCCTGAATTCATTTAGATATCGTTTTATTTTCGTACTCCTCTGGTGCACTTAAACAAATGCAGTAACGATCAGATTGACCAGGTCAGGGAAGTACATGTGATAAAGTAATGAAAATTGTCTCTCTTAGTTTGTGTATGACTAAATTCATTTTGGATCCGTTTTCCGAAATGAACAATTTGGTTTCAAACATCCTATTCACAAACCGCTATGACATTTTTGGTGCTCGTGGTATGGTCCCCTCCCCCGAAGTGACCGGAGTAATAACGTTAAAGGATGGGACGATTTCATCTCGTTATATGTCAGTAGTTTTGAACTTTTATCCAAGAACGACTGAAATTTGGCTAAGGATGAGTGATCGCGATCAATACCCATATTACCCTCACTAGATTTCATTCAGCTCATGCTGAACGCGGTTGACAGACAATCGGTCTTATTGATATCCCCCCTAGTGTGTATATTTGACATTCTGGGGAATATCGCCATTACAAAGCTTGTGACTTTTCGATACAGTTATTACAATTGTTATTTGTATAGAGCTGATTTATTTCCTTAACGGGGGTCCACTCAACAGGAAACGATTCTTGAAACATTTGATTAGTGTCAGTTTCGGTCATAGCTACAGTCACTTGTACTTTACCCGAAGATCGAATCATGACGCAAATGTTTATTTGCAATGTTGTTGGTGCTTTATTTTCGTGTTTCTTATCCACTGTTCACCTTGACTCTCCACACTTAAGCCAAACAACGTTTTGTCGCATGATTTGCTTCCCATTCTCATGCGTCGCAGATGAATTGAGTACTGGTGTGAATTTTTTCTAGGAATTCCTTGTATGGGTGTGTGGGGGGCTAACGGTTCATTCTCCGGCATACCCCTGCAGAATACAAAACGTTCGTTTTCATTTTGTAAAATTGATTTGGTAAATGATGATGCGTGAACTAAAAATGCTAGGCAAGATGACAAATGGCCTGATAATCTACTCGGTTGTCGAGTGGTTAGTATGCTTGCGTTCTACCTGTTAGGTCCCGGGTTCGATATTCAGTTGGGTTAATACATTCGCTCCGCCGCTGAAGCCCAACCAGGTGGATACTACTACCTGGAGCATTCAAGTTGTTCATTTCATGTTTCATTTAATCTGTACATGAGGGAATACATTGCATAATCGAATCGACTCCTCCATCAATCTCATGTGATCTGGAAATTATTTAAATCGATAGGGGTTGGGATGTCAACATCTCTACTTACAATTTGTTGACAATATGTGAAATTGTTCACCATATCATTTTGGAGACCAACTCGTGCACATTAGTCGTTGTGTTTAAATTAGCCGACAGTTTCATGCATAATATATAACTTTCTACGGATCTTTCTTAACCAAGAACACTTTATTCTGTACCCAGCATGTCAAAACCAAAGGTGGGCATCAATGGATTTGGTCGCATTGGACGACTTGTGTTACGTGCCGCCGTGGACAAGGGGACAGTGGAAGTTGTAGCTGTCAACGATCCATTTATCGATCTCAACTACATGGTTTACATGTTCAAATATGACTCTACACACGGAACATTCAAAGGTGAAGTTTCTGTGCATGACAAAAAGTTATGCATCAACGGGATGCGTATCTCGGTTTATAACGAGCGCAGTCCGGAAACTATTCCCTGGGATAAAGATTCGGCAGAGTATGTCGTTGAATCTACCGGGGTATTTACGACAATGGAAAAAGCACAGGTCAGTTTCTACTAATTCTCTCACACCCGTTCAACTGTGTGTGTATATGCAATAATTCAGGCTCATCTGAAAAACAATCGGGCGAAAAAGGTTATCATTTCGGCCCCCTCACCAGATTCCCCAATGTTCGTGATGGGGGTGAATCAAGACAAATACGATAAGTGCATGAATGTGGTGTCGAACGCCTCGTGCACAACTAATTGTCTGGCTCCGCTAGCAAAAATATTACATGAAAATTTTGGTATTGAGGAAGGCCTGATGACAACCATTCATTCGTACACCGCGACTCAACGTGTGGTGNCGTGTGGTGGACGGTCCGTCCTCCAGATTATGGCGTGATGGACGTGGCGCTGCACAAAATATTATTCCAGCTGCTACGGGAGCTGCAAAAGCGGTGGGTAAAGTTATACCAGAACTGAATGGCAAGCTAACTGGGATGGCTTTTCGAGTGCCTACTCCAGACGTGTCTGTGGTGGACCTCACCTGTAAATTAAGCAAACCAACTACTTACGAACAG